CACACAACTGCATCCGATAGGGTCGTCAATAGAACACATCAAATCTTTCTGCTGTGTATGCATGTTTAAGCCATCAGGATGACAAAGAAAGAGTGGCGCTTCCAGAGAACTCAACGCTCGCAGCCACGTTCTCTTGTCTTCTGCAGAGACTTCGTTGCCAAAAGGTGTATTCCAGTTGCCTCTGCAGGAGCGGCTGCAGCGGGCCCGGATTCTTCCTTGGGTGCTTCTGCCGCCTGGCCATATAGCGACAACGTTTTGCTGGACAATGCTGGACGTCCTGATTTCTGGAAAAAACTTGGACTCTTCAGTAAACCTCCGCTTAGAATATCGGGTGCCGGCCATCCTAGTCACCGTGAAAAAGAGTCCTGACTGCCCATTGACGCCTGTGCGGCAGGCGCAGTGGGCGCTGATTCCTCCTTGGGTGCCTCGGCTGCGGCCTAGCAAGTCAAATCTCAAGTTTGCTGGCTATCAAAACAAATTCCATTGGCAAAATTCAGCATGGCCCCTGTGCCAAGTACAAGGACCTGAAGCTCTGGGGCCAGGTGAAATTCTAAACTCACACTGGCCGGGTCGTTTGTGATTGTACGCAAAAAAAAGGGTTCGCACAGAAGATCACAGAAGGTTTACTGTCATCTGCCCATTTTCCAGAACAAATCTCACTTGGATCTTGCATTGATCTTGCCTCAGGTGTGGCAGCTGGCGCTGCTTCTTCCTTGGGTGCCTCAGCCCAGCGAGTCGAAGCACAGCGTCCGGAGCATCCGGAGCGTCGGTTGGGAGGATGAACTCCGTCCCCCCAAAACAAGCTGCCCAAGCCGTGGATGACCCTGGAACATATACCTTCTACCTTGGGGGGGAGGTCATCTACCCCCCCTACCCTGGAACATACCATTACCATCCATTTCCCAAGGTTGCAGGTATATTGGAACCGTGTTCTTGTCTCACGAACTGCTCTCTGCCCACGCTTGTGCCGCTCATGGACGATCTTTTTCCATCGCTGATCTCCACGAGCTGAGTCCCCCTTTTAGAAACGTGTCGATCATTTACATTCTTGCGAGGCACAAAAACCACAGGGCACGTCCACACCACAGATTTTGTCCAATATGATTGTGTGAAAAAGCATGATTTTCACCCTTCTCCAAGTGAACCAGGTGGTGGTGCGTCGTGAAGTCAACACCCGTTTCAGGGAAAGGCCTCTGCAGCAGGTGCCGATTCCTGTTTGGGTGCTTCCGTAGCCTCGCAGAGTAGCAACACTTCTTCTTTTGCCAGCACAACCAGGTTTGTGTCCGTTGTCAAAGTTGTTTGGATTGCTGCCGCACCATCCGGGTACTTTAGACAAAGCCTTGAGAGAAAACAATTGCTGCTTGATCGGAAGGTTGGCTTGGTCGAATGCACCAAAGGCGCTGTGTCGTTTTAGAAGAAGCTGAAGCTGCTTCTGTGCAAAAAGCGAAAAGGCTCAACATGTCAACTCGGCCTCTACAGCAGGCGCAGACGGTGCTGACTCCTCTTTTGGCGCTTCCACCGCTGCCTGGAAGGCCAGACAGGATAGGGCCCTCGCTTTCATGCGCCCTTTCGGCCTTCGGCGTCTTGCTAATAGGAAGGAAAAAGACCGTTTATCCTACCAGCATTTTTGAAGGGGTCCCGAATAGTAGCCCCCACACCACTTATGGTTCTCCATTGGAAGGGAAAGAAACAAAATCATGGTTTACCCTAGGATTGATTAGCGGACACTTCTCTCATTACCTCGGTTCCGCCTCTGCAGCTACCGCAGGCGTGGAAGACTCCTCCTTGGGAACCTCTGCCTGGCACCGCATGTTCGCTCATCGCTGGTGCAGCACGGTAATTCTCCACATGGCTCATCACGGTTCCACTCCCGAAAACTCACGTGGACCCTGAATGGGATCCGGAAAGACTGTTTTCCTCTACAAACCAGTGGTGTTCAGGTCTCCATGGTGAGTTGTCCATGGGGTACATGATCACTCCCGAAAAGAATCGAAAAGAATCATGATCTCCCATGGCGTGGCATGATGAATCATCTTTCAAAAACCCAAACAGGTGGTGTTGGTTCTCCACTTCCATGATGTCAGGGAGGTTTCAACCGGTTTCACCTTATCGATGCGCTGCTTGGCTATCGATGCGATGCGTGGGCGCTGCTTCATCTCCGATTGAACAGCTAAGACGGTCCGGTGGAATCAATTTGGCAGGTGAGGCAGGTGCAGATTCCTCCTTTGGTGCTTCCACTGGCGCCTGGGCAGTCAGCAATCCCAAGTTTGTTGCTTGCAGTCTCCAACTTCTGCAAGAAAATCACAATTCCATGCAAAACTCAATTGCTGCAAGAATAAGAATGTATTGTAATCTATGGCCAATTTAAAGATGCCTCTGCAGGAGCAGCTGCTTCCTCCTTGGGTGCTTCTGCTGCCTCGCAACATGTGTTGCAAAGGGATCTCCAATGCATTTCATTGTGACAAAACGTGGATGGAAAACAAATTTGCCAAGCCCATCTTCCACGGCGTTTGGAAGGAAACAAATCGTGAAGGATATGTCCTATAGGAAACATCCACCAAACGAAATGTCTCCCGCGTTGTGAACAGTTTCTTGAAGTCGTAGACAGCTTCGTAGACAGCTTTGCCTCTGCAGCAGGTGCGGCCGGGGTCGACTCCTCCTTTGGTGCTTCAGCGGCCTCCCAGAAGAGAAACAGCCACGCTCTCAGAGCTGCCAACAGGTCACCTTTGGGGCTTACACTGGAGGATCAACTATCCAATATACGGCCTTTTTCTATCAAAAAGGAGTTCTTCACTTCTGGGTTTTAGGTAGTCATTGTCTTGGATCAAATTGAGTTCCATTGATGGCGTGACTGCTTTCGAGTTCGCTCCATTTGGGGAGCCCTGTATGGCGCCTCTGCAGCTGCGGGAGACTCCTCCTTTGCTGCCTCAGAAAAAACAAAATGACCGTCTCAACTTGCTCTAGTCGAAGCAACTTCACCGCTGCACAACTGTTCAGGGGCGAAAGTGAAAAGGGGCCTGCTCTCTGTGGTTCCTGCCTCTGCAGCGGGCGCAGCCGGTGCTGACTCTTCCTTGGGCGCTTCAGTTGAGGCCTCGCAAGTCGAAGCTTTCCAACTTCGGACGTTCAAGTCTCCATCCATCAACAGACTTACAGACTTACATAATTTGCTAGTTTCGCAGCAAGAGTTCTTCATTGTCTCGTCTTCTGCTTCCTTCGTTTGTTACAAAACGTGGTTGGCGCAACGTTGCCTCGGCAGCCGGTGCAGCTGGTGCGGATTCCTCCTTTGGTGCTTCTGCCGATGCCTCAGTTGCAGACTTTCATGTTTCGAGCCATGACCTGTGCTGCCCCCAAACTCACTGCCATGTTGGAACGATCTTCAACACGATGTGGAACAGCCTGGACCAAACCAGAAGGGTGTCACTGACCTAGTCTTCGCCGTTGTTCCTCGTTGCACGCGCTCCCGCGGTCCCTGTCCGTGCAACTGGTGCCTCTGTGGCCGGGGCAGCTGGTGCGGATTCCTCCTTTGCTGCTTCCGCAGATGCCTTCCGAGGCTTCAAGCTCTACTTTCTCCGCTTGTTGGCGAAGGATACGCCGTGCTTGGACTGGACAATGGTTGGACATGGTGTCAAGAATCGGAAATGTCACATGTCTTCATCCAGAGTGGTCATCTTAGGATCAACTCACCCTTCATACTATACCGTAAACTTGAGCGCATGTTCTGACCAACATCAGGTACTTTAATCTCCAGTTGCCTCTACCGGTGCCACCGGAGCGGATTCTTCTTTGGGTGCTTCTGCAGCGGCCTGGCAGCTGTTTTGCTCAAACCATCCCTAACTTGCGTCTTGAGACCATTTTCTGCGACAGCTGACTGGTACTGGGAGCAGTCGGAGCAAATTTAAAAACCATGTCTTAAACATCTTGCAGCATGTCTTGCAGCATGTCTAGCAGTGCTACCTCTGCTGGGGCGGCAGGTGTTGATTCCTCCTTCGGCGCTTCTGGAGCAGCCGCCTTGCGACACCGATCCGATCTTGGACATCGAAGTGGTCAACAAACTGTGCCTTCTAGCTGTAGAAGGCTATATAGAACAGCAGGCTATAGCAAGCTACTTCGCAAATTCTTGGAAACGAGAGCAAACCAAACAAAACAAAAATCTGAGCAAGCAAGCTAGTTCCCCAATTCTTGTGTATAGCAGGTCTGCTCATGTCTACTCAAACGCTCCTGATGACCCGAGAGCGCTCCGACCGCCTCCAGGGTCGGTGCCTCCTCCCTGGGTGCCTCCGCGGCCTCACAGCTGAGGTTTTTGGGGGTGCCCTGATCGCACCTTTTGGGTATATACAAAAACCCTAGAAAATACAACCTATGAAATATGATGGTGAAAAGATATGAAAAAATGAATTTATATACATGGAGAGTACCTTCAAAGCCTACCACGGGAGGTCTTTTCCAGGCAGGGATCCTCTCGAACTTCACCACCTCGGCACCTTCAAGTGCCCTCCTCGCCTCTACGGCGGGTGCCGCTGGTGCCTCCCCGTGGAGGTTGGGCTGTTCGCGAGTCCGGAGCGCTCGGACGCTACGAACGGAACCAGGGCATCGCTACGTTCGTAGCCTCTTGCTACGTTCGTAGCTATAGGTCGACTATACCCCGTGAAGAGACGTAAGAGTTCTGTATGAGGTTGTGAACCCCCGAAGGTGGTGGCCGTAGGAGTCATCGAAGCCGCCCCTTCCGGATCTGAAACAATGCGCCCCCCCAGGGCCCCTCGAACCATCCATGGATCTTCCGGAACGTCCTTGTCTTTGTGCCGTCAGTCGCAACCGTCAGATGATGCCGGGGTGCGTGTCGTTCGTCCATGGAGTCTTTATTAGGAACATGCCCCAAAAAACGACAGGTCGTATGCATACCGGATGGGCGAAAGCCAAGCACTGATCAGACCGGATGACATGATCATGTCGATGCTTTGGGACCTGTCAGATAAAGCACATCCACAAAAAGGAACATCCACTAAAGGCACAAAAACGGCGATTTACTCCAACCACCTTCCACTAGACACGTGAGATGCACCGATTGTCGGCCTCAGCCGCTGCTGGCGCCGCTGGCGCCGCTTCGGCCGCCGGCGCCGCTTCGGCGACCTCAGATCGCGAGACAAGCGCCGCGAAGCGGGCGGACGCACAGGGTGGGGGGTCTGTAAGGCTGTAAGGGGTGGTTAATGGACATCCCTCAGCCTATCTGGAGCAATTAGACACCCCTTAAGGTCCGGAACGGACCTCATTCGACTGGGTCAGGTCATGCAAAACCAGGAGGTCAGACTCAATGAGGTGAGACCTGAAAAACGCCAGGCCCGTGAGCTGGACTTGTAGGGGATTGTATCCCATGGGAGTCAACAACTATCAAAAGAATGGTCTGACGTGACCAGAGATACTGGACCTGAGTGAGTTCAGGAACTTCCGAACACTCCAGTCGGTCCAAATAAGGTCGGTTCCTGGACGTTCTGGAACTTGGTTTGTCCAGCAGGAGATGTTGACGGCACGTCGCAGGCTGGCCTCTCTTTCCTTTCTGAATCACCAACGTCAAAAGGGTTGACCATTGAACATGAAGAAGGGAGGAAAGGGATGTCTGACGTGATTGACCGATAAAAAATAACTGATTTACTGAGTGATGGTGAGTGGATCGATTTGAATGATAACTGACTGAGATACATAAAATATATATATATATTATATATACAGTATACATTCATTCCTTGACTATACCAAAAAAAAGAAAGCCTTCGATGCATTCTTCGCCCACCCTCCACCCACCACTCACCCGAGTGGTCGGGGCCTCGGGGGACGGCTCCACCTTGGGCGCCTCGGCGGCAACCTGAGACGGTGGTGGTTGAAATTGGTCGTTGGAAGATCCAGGATGATGACGTTGGCGTATGTTGGTCACAACTCTGTCGCGGACTCTGACCGAAAGGGATTCAAAAGGGATGATCTGAACCGCACGTCCATCGACTGGCAGTCATCAACCTATGTTGAAGATCCATGAACATCGGCTACTTGGCTCAAACGACTGTTTAAAACAAACGTTGTTTGAAGGGCAGGGTTTTTGGAGTCTCCATGCATATCCACGGATCCATCCTGCAGCAGAGCCCAACCGGTGAAGTTGACCGAGAATCCAAATGACTCATGGGACCCTGATGGTAGTGGTGGCTGATGACTACCAGGTGGAGTACAATGAGTCATTGGAAGTTCTGGGTTAGGGAGCTTGCCATGCTGGATGTTTGCCCGCAAGGTTTAAGAGCATCCCATGTCCATCGGCAAGCTCAGGTTGCGTTTAGGCCCTGCAAAGCCTGCAAAGTCTGGTGGTCAGGGAAATTCCAGCTGCGCCCCCTGATTCACTCGCGTGTTCCCTCCCGGGAAATCGGTTGCGACCTCGGCTGGCGCTGATGTGGCTTGCTCCTCCTTGGGCGCTTCCGCCGCCTCCAGAAAAGGGACAGCTGGAGGGTTTCTCTCGAGTGTTTGGACCGCGCGGCGCCGGCGCCGCCCGGGCCTTCTTCGCCACCTTGGAAGCCGCTTCGTGGGCCTCGTAGCCGTTCATGAAGTGCCTACGTGCCGAGACGGTCGCGGAGTTGATGGTGTATACGCTATAGCGGTGCCGGTGAGTCAAGCTCAGCTCGTGTCGGAAAGCGACCGGCAGCACCTTCCTGTGGTCCAATGATGTCCAATGGAAGGCCCTATAGCCTATAGATGATAGATGATGGAAAAGCCAGACAGGACACCCCGCACTTCGGAAGGTGGATCGGTGTTCTGAGTTCTGCTCTGAGTCGATCGGACACAAGTCCTTCGGTGAATGTTCGGCAAAGGGACCCAGGCGAAGCCCGGCGATTCAGAGGTCCTTCCTGTGCCGAAGCCAGGCGAACCGACTGCGCAGCGAAGACATGGAGGACCCTTTCTTGGGGGGCTCCCAAGGCCATGGCGCTTCGAAGGGGATCGGACCTGAGACCTCCAAAGCGCAAGCAGCTGGGGTGGGGGGACCCCTGCCTGGCCATGTAGTCGTAGGGGTTCTCCGGCTTCTCCTTGATGACGGTTTGCAGCACGGCCTCGTTGGGAGAGGAGATCCACCACGTATCCTCGTGGAGCCGTGGGGAGGGTAGACCATGCAAAAAACATGGGAGGTCACGAATTCAGGGAAGGAATGGAATGGACTGGATACACCCTGGGGAGTCAAAGGCTACAAAATCTGATCAGGGCAGCTGAGTTCGGGAACGTCCTCTTCACCGGGGCGAAATATGGTCATTCAACATCTTTCAACTTCTGGGATGTACACTGTTTGGTGCGAAAAGTCTATTGAACGTCTATCGATCGTGAGACTCGTCGGGCCGTGCAGGGGGCGTCCCCCCCGCTTCAGATCGTGCCATCCATGAGCCATGATCGTGCCATCTGTTCAAGGTGGCGTTCATGTTCCTCCTTCCCTGAACATGTTAAGCACCTGCAACATCCTGCAACTCCCTGCAAGCTTCAAAACGCTTCCTAATTTGGCCCCGAAGACTGGTCAACCACAGAGCGTCGAGCCAGGTGCCTGAACAAATTGGAGCACCTTGTGGCTTTCCAAGTATTCTTTCGCCTTAAAAAGGCCGCCGTGCCGGCTCGGCTGTCGTCTGCGTCTCTCCGGTCGGTCCGGGGGACATCGGGAAGGTCATGCGTCGGTCATGCTTCGACCAACGGAGCTGGGCCTGCCGGCCAGAGGCCCCCCCCGCCCACCAAAAAATGGATTGAATTGGAGGTGGTGCGACATGTTCCAGTCTTCGCTTTGAGCGTTGAAGTTCAAAGTCTTCGCCAAGATGCATCTTTCGCGCCCGCAGCTGCCTGCCAATTCGTGAGTTTTGAGCGACCAAGTCAGCTGGCAACTCGCGTGGCTGTCTCTCGTACACTGTACACACACTGATCTGCAAACTAGACCAACAGAAGGAAACCAATTGCCAAGGACCTCACATTTTCCTATGGACCGTTCAAGCTCTGAAGTGTGAACTTCTTGGCTCATGCTTCCCTGCGGATCCCTTCGGTTGGGGCACCGGTGGCACGCCGAGGGGAGCCTCGTTCTTCTTCGGTGGCTCTTCGGCTTCGGGTGCCTCTCCCTCAACCTGGCAGAAGTCGTCCTCC